CCGTTGATCCACTTCTATTCTTCCTTCATTTGCATTGGAGCTGTTTGCAATGTTTTCTCCCTCAACTCTGAATGGTAATTTAGGAGAATTATTCCAGCAATTAATGTGTGCGTAAAACATCCACAATTCTTTTGAATTAACATTAATATATATACAAAACATCCTATATCCATGCATAAATACTCAAATTTTGCCAATGGGCACCTGCTTTTCTGAGTTCATGTTTATTGATTATTCTATGGGAAAGGTTTATGGATTCACACTATTCTCAGTGCCTCTAACATTATAAACTCTTCATTCCATAACAACAGCAGTAAAACATGTTTAGAATGCAATCAACACATTTGCATTACATGCAACTTGCAGCTTTTCATCACACTTGCAAATTAATTTTAATTTAATTTCCACTTAGACAGCATCAGCTCCAAACAGCACTGCTCTCTGTGGAAGTTTTATCTGCAGTGATATCAGGGAAATATTGAAACATAGAGTGTTCTGTGAAATATCTGGGGACAGATAGTAAGGAGGAAGCTTATGGCAGGTTGCTGGAGACTTGGCGTAGTATATAGAGTTTGCGAAGTTTGATGGAAAAGAAAAACATGTCGAAGTGTTTCAGGTCCGGCAGAATGAGACAAAAGATATGTTTGAAACAGGTTTGTTGAGTGCTTGAATTGAGAATGGCTTTAAAATTAGTTCAGTATTTGAACTTGAGGTAGCAAACAGGATGCAGGATTCGAATTTGAATGTAAGGAAGCAGAAGTAAAATTAACTGAATTTCAAAGAGATTCATATGATTGTAATTCTAACTCGAAGAGAAAAGTTTGTCGTCAAAATGTTGAAGCTTTTGGGATTCAGGCTCATCCCTGATTTGAGGACCACAAAAAAATTTTTTTTTAAATAATTAAATAAGACTTCCACAAATTTTTGAACACTATCCAATCTGGTCCAGTGATTTTCCTGTGTGATTTAAGTGTTTTTTTTTTCTTTAATTCCTTTCTCTTTTTTTGTAATTTTTAGTTTGTTTGTTTGTTTGTTTGGGCCTCTTTTGCCTCAGTTCTCCCTCTACAGTTACAGGGTCAAGACAGAAAAAAACTTAAATGAAGATGCCCTGCTGTTGTTGCAGTTCTCTGAGCTGAACAGCTTCTTTTGTTCACAACTATGGATTAAATAAAATTCCTTCTAAAAATCACTCCCCTGATGTTCCTCTGTTTTTTTAATGAGGTCATAAATTGCAAGCCGCTCTGCTTTATGGTGATTATAATTTCAATTTTGTACGCCTGCGTTCAGATTTTATTTTCTACTTGATAACGTCGAGTACTGAAATAGAAGGCTGCAAATTGTGAGGCTTGCAAAAACATTGGGCTTGGATCAGTAAACAGTACAATAGGACTGCTGTGACTGATGGTATAATTAGCAGTGACATGAAAATTTATGACTGACTGCATCTATAGCACTCCTATAAAAAGTTGTAAAAATTACGACATGCTAAAGGCAATGAAAAGAGAAATGTGTTGTGGTAAAAAGGCTATTTTGAGTAGAATACAGAGCTAGAAGAAAGGCTGTGATAATGATTATGTGGAATTGGTTTCAGAGGCTTCAAGACATGATACGAACAACATATGATTGTAGGAAGATCCTCAGGGCATTGATTTTTCTTCTTAAACCCGTCTAGCTTTAGTCAGCCATATCAAAAGAGCGCTGGTTCTTCAATCAAAACCTTTTTGTTCAATGTTTATGCAATCGCATCTGCATCCCCACTTCAGTCTGATGTGGAGTGCTAGCAATGTACAGAATGCATTTTATTTAAACAAAACTTCCTTTGTTTTGTACATTAAAAATTAATGTAGAAATATGTGTGTGTCTGAATTCACATACACATCAGGCATACTGTGATGTGCAGAAAAACAGGTTTTAAGTGGATTCAGGAGAGCTGGGCTGGCAGAGCTGTGTGAAGATATTTTTCCAGACATGTGGTTCAGGCTCTCAGAAGCTGCCATATGGCCACGGTTACACTCATTTATGAAACGTCTCACACTGGATGCTTTTAGACTGATGCTGTGTCTCCTAAGTGTTTGTCCTCTGCACTCAATTAAACCAGAGAGGGCTGTGTATTTGAGTTTGTGTGTGAGAGAGAGAGAGAGAGAGAGAGAGAGAGAGAGAGAGAGAGGGAGAGAGAGAGAGGGAGAGAGGAGTGTGGGGTTGTAAAAATGCATTATGTAAAAACATTTTTTTATATATATTTACAGCCAATTTCTGTACTATCTCTGAAAATACAAATTTACTGTTAACAGAGTATGATGACATTTACTGTTTGACTTCTAGGGCATTGCTTTAGTTTGACAACACAGTGAATCATCTTAATATCCATTAATTTGCAACCACCAGAGAATTTAGCGAGGAAATTTCAAAGGACGCAGATAAGTCATATTTCTACTTTTGACATCTGTCAATATATGACATGAAAATTCACCCTCATTTCTAAATATTGTACATGTTATTGAACAGTACAACAATGCATATATTTCATTTTTTACTATTTGTCTTCCGGTGAAATGACAAACTTCTCTCTAGTGACCTATGCAGGACTTCTCCAATCATTTAGTCTGCTGAAACCTTGCTTCTTACATTTGACTGGATGCTTGCATGAAGTCAGTTGTGAGAGTATAAAACTCTGAACCTTAGAACATAAGCATTATGTGTGTATTTATGATCCAGTGAACTGAAGAAAATAACCTACATCTCCTCAGGCTTTAAAATATATTTGCACAAATGGTATCTCCACATTGTCTCTGTGTATGTGAATAAATGCAAGTGCATACGGGTATGAGCCGCTGCTTGTCATCACTTGCCCTCATGTCTGCCTCTTGTCCCCTGCTGTCTCCCTCTGTCAACGTTATCACACACTCTTATCACTGTGGCGGAGCCATTTTTCTGAACAAATTACATCCTTCGTGCTCCTCCCCCATTCATGGTCCTCATTTACTTTTCCTCTGAAATACATTCTAATGCAGTTCAGGGATGAACAGTTATTACATTTCAGGCCAATATGATAAGCCAATGATTATTTTCATGTTATTTCACAATTGATAATAAATAAATAGCCAATATTTAAATTCTTTACTGTTTTGTAAACTACAAATTAAATACAAAAAATCTGAAATCAATCATCTTAAATTATGCAAGTGAATTTATTATTATAATCTACAGTATAAAACTGGGCACTCGTTTTGAAAATCCACCGACATATTGGTTTAGAACGGTTTTCGCTTGTAAACTGTGCTTGATTTCTCTCTCGATTTAGATGAGATGATTTTTCACTATAGAGAAAGCAATATTATGGATATGTATAAGCAATAACTCTGGACCTGAGTAATGTAAAGTTCTGAGTCTGATATGTGACTAACATTATAAAAGTGTTTGTGGAATTATTTTCTTGATAATGACTATTTGCCAGGGTGACAAGCCAAGAAATGTAAGTTGACAACCTGACTCTTTTGCTCATTGCTATAATAGTGGTTTATGCCACATACTGGTGCGCAATCCTCCGCTGTCATTCTTCTTTGCTATGCATCACTTTTCCTGCCTCTGTTACCATGAGAACCAAAGACAGAGCTGAATTTTTTTGCTGTCACCATTCTGAAATCACCCCAAGTGGTCCAGATGCATGTCCCATTTCAAACCAGCTGGTGGCAATATATTTTGACATCAAAACTTAATATGACATGAGATTAGAGACTAAATGTTTCATGTGTCTTCTTAATGACTAAGAACTGTGAGTTTCAACATCACCAAAAATCCTTGGTGTTCAGACACTATTTTCTCAAATGTTCATAACTAATTTCTAAAAACACTGATCATCATTTGTTTTGAGTGATGATGGCGTAACTAGAGCAAAAACTCCAACATCAGCAATAGCAGACTCACTCGAATGCTCCCACCAAAAATCCATCATTTACACTGCAAGCGAGCGGATCTCTTGGGCCTCATGCACCACCCCAACAGCTCTATTGCAATGTGTGAGACAATACATCCATATTTCAAATTCATATCCACATAATATTTTGTTACCTCGAATGTTTCCACTGATCATTTGCACGCTAATAAAAGCAGTATAATGTAATTTATTGATTTATATTAATTGCTTTTACTAGCAAATTGATTACTTTAGTTGAGATTTTTGTTGACACAACAGTCCATGCATCCCTCTCAAGTAACTCAGGTTTATGTGCCTTGCTCAAGGACAAATTGTGGTAGTCTCGGCCTCAGTCTGACCATTCACTGACCATCTGATGCACATTACACATAAAACTGGAATACACTTTTCCAGTCTAGTGAACTCTAATCTGATATAGGCTGACTTTAGGCAATTTCAAAGAATAAAAGCACACAGGTTTTCTAATCGGTCCCCCTGAAAACAAAGTTCTTTACAGTTGGTATCTGGTTGATACACTACATGCTTTTGTCTGGCATCAAATATTAAAGTTAATTACAATTAGTTTTCCACCGATATATCTCCCAGGGTTATTATAGTTAACTAAACAGAAATACAAATTTATAAACACTTTAACTAAAGTTAAAATGAACAGAAAATAAAAAAAAATCTAGGCCTATTTCAAAATATTAATACAAACAATAATAGCATCTCACTGCTACGAAAATAACACGTTGAAATGGCCTTTTTCTCTATTAAAGATGTCACAGTGGCCTACTGTCTCAACATTTTATGTAGATTTTCAATAAATTTCATTTCATTTTATGTAGATTTTCAATAAATTTTCAACATTTTCAATACATTTTAATGAACTAGGGCTAATCAATTTGACCAAACAAGAATATTAGATATAAGGCTCTATATTTTAAAGACAAATCATAAAAAAAAATATCAAATGTTTCTTAGTGAAGTGTTAACTCAGTGTACGCTAAACAAAATACACGCATCCCAAACGCACACACGTTATTTTAGTGCGCTCTTCTTTGACGCACTACGGTAAAGGGTGGACTTTTGTTGTCTGCTGGAGCTGGAGACAGACAGCTGAGAGTGAAACAGCCGTGTGTTCTTGGTGCTTGAAATTCAGACGCGCTGCGCGGCGTCTCGTCCCGAAACCCAAGACGACAACCAAGAAGAGTCACTTGGATTACCGTCAGCAGGTCTAAAGCCCGAACACATTTTTTTCCAAGAAAACTTGCTGGGGGTTTTTTTCTCTCTCTGTTGGGACACAGGCAAAAATCTCGCATTTTCACCTTTTAAAAGCAGCAGTCTTCTCGGAAGGGGCCGCACCTTCAGCTGAACATCATCCAGGTAGGTTTATGAAAGTTCATGTGCTGTATCGAGGCCACGACCATTGCTCCAATCACCCTAACTAAATACTATCAGAATGGTGCTGTTTAAATGTGCGATTGTTTTTTTTTTTTATCCGCAAATTGTCATTGAATAATGTACATCATTTAGTCCTTTGGTCAACTTTTTGCGCTGCTGCATCCCACACGTTATCATTATTTAAACAGCTGCGTTGTCTGATGTGAGTGTATGAAGTGAAGGATGTAGTTTAATTGAGAAGCGCATCTCCAGACTCCGTATAGCTAATTAAGCTGGTATTGTGCTCTGTGTTGATTCAATCAGTTGCTCATATGACTAGTTCTGGAAGTTTACATGAGATTATATTCTGGTCTTTAAATTAAAATTCTGTGTTTATGCATTGACTTTATTATGAATCGTATAATACACACACACACACACACACACACACACACACACATATATATATATATATTCCACTGTACTGATTTTTATTATATGCATTGTATTGCAAGACAAATTTCCTTAAAACATGACAATAAAGTATAACCAACTAACTAATTAAGTCACGAACTGGATATTTCACCTTTACTAATGGCAAAATACTGGCAGTAGTTTCGTTTCACAATATCAAAACAAAAGTTTGAATAGTTAATTTACGCCAAAAACAGTAACTGCAACTACACCCTATAATAAAAATGGCCTCAAATAACATTAATATTTTTCTATATAAGCTGCACATAAAACTTTTGAGAGATGAATAAGCTCAGAAGTCCGGATGAAAACGATAACAAGGCATCACCTTGGTTAGGATTTTTTAAAAAAAGGTAAGAGAAGAGCTAGAAGAGAGAAACCCTATAATATGTTAGCTAACCAGTCTATATGAGAAGTAACTCAGAAAGAGCTTTATTGCCAAGTGTGTTTACACACACAAGGAATGCGTCTTGGTGTCAGGAGCTTCCAGTACAGAAAGTACAGACATAGTGCACACATACATATAATTTAAGGTAATAAAAACACTAATAATAAAGAGAATAGACAATCAATTATAAATAACAATATAGTAATAAACTTCCATTGAAGATTAATAATATATTCATTAATATTGTTGTAGTGTTGATCTTATTGCATAATCAAGTAGCCCAACTCAACTCACCCTTGATCAATGGCTAAGTCAGTGTCCGAATTCACTCTCTTAATTCTGTTCACTCTTTGCTGATATGGTGCACTCACCACCATACACTATGTAGGGATTAGTGAATGATTGAACGATTTCGAACACGGCTTATGTCACTCAACCTAAGAGAGTTGCATTTTGGATTTCAGAGGCGTGTTCCAGGTTGGCTCAGCTGACTCATCTGATGCCTAAAAAAAGCTGTCTAGGTAGACAGATCAGTAGATTTTGAGACCTAACCAGAGACAAAACAAAGACCTCTCTTCCTGGATATGTTCCCACTTACTGTCCCTATTGTCCATATTTTCACACAAATGTCTAAGTATGGAAAATAATTGCCTTGCACCTTGTCTTGTGGGCAGTTAATTAAATTGAAACAGTGTCTTTTGAATGTGCTGCATGCTGATAAAGGACAGCGTTTAATCTGAGCCTTATCTCTCTGAGCATAAACAGCTTCACTAAAGCTCATATAAATTAGTCTGCAAATCCTCCACGGCTTTAGAGAATATAGAAAGTAACAAAAAAAATCATCTTATCTGTCAATGAGATAGCTTATTACCGTGATGGTGTTATCATAGGTAAACTGTTTTCGAGCACAATAAAGATTAAGATGGATAAACACCTATTAACCTATAACCCCTTTAAACTGAAACCGACTCTGCTGATTTAATGCTTGATAGAGATTGAATGAAGCCCATTAGATAAATGTCAGTCTTGTCACTTGAGTCAACTGAAGAGGGTTACCCTTCTTTTTAACCTTTTTTAGCAATATTTTCTGTCTAACGTTTTGCAACAGAAGCATTAATATGCTATAATCGTATTGAGAAATTACATTAATAACTAGTCAAACCATGACCAAACCTAAGACGGCAAGTATTACAATTAGAACCTCATAACAAATCTGACATGATGAGTTGGACGTTCAGCCTGTCAAGCACTCTGTTTTAGCTAAAACAGTTTGTCTTCCATCCTTTTCTCCCTACTTTATTTGTGCCTCGTTCACATCCAAAAATAATTTACATTGAATTTTAGCACTGGGGGTGGGTGGATGGGGGATGTTTCACTAAGTAAGAGGGGGCTCTTGTCCTGCTGATCTAGGCTTTCTCCAGTATAATCCAACTCATGTAATTAAACACAATACGATTAGTGGGCAGAACGGACCCTGTTGCTGTGTGAAGGTGCACACACTGTATATGTAGCGGAATTTAATACTTTTGTGTAGGTTTGCTTCTTTGGCGGTGTGAGTGTGTTTGTATATGTGAGTATGCATAAGTGCATTTCCACTTGCAGTTCATTGATGGCTTTCAAAGAATTCAGTCTATGCACGGGCATCAATACACATGCCATCAATGGAGAGATTGGCGCCATCCAAGAGTACATGCTATATGACCTGACCAGAAGCTGCTAAAAAAGACATAACAGTAAAAGAATCCAGTCAAGAGAGATAAATAGTCTTAGAAGTACTGGCAGTCAATTTCCAGTGGTTTTGTAATGGGGTCTATTACAATAGTCTTTACATACTAGTAAACCTTTTTGTGGGCTTTGTAGTGTGTAAAGACACCTGAGTCATAGATGTTATCCAAACAGCTGTCCTGGTGTGTGTGTGTGTGTGTGTGTGCACTTCTGCATTTTGTCTGAAGGTTGCAGTTGACAGCGGAGCAGTGTGGAGTCGGCTGGTTTTGGTCAGCTGGCTCACAGTCTGAAAGAGAGAGAGCGAGAGAGATGAATGCTCTGTAATTAGCACCCACGGCTGCATGCTGCATTCCACCTCTGTAAATTACAGAGTGGGCTGCCTGCACTGCCAGACCCAGCAAACCTGCCTGTGTGAGTGTATCCAGACCCCCCTCTTCCCCTCCCTCGGCCTCACGCACACGCAAAACTGCGGCTTTACCTGCTAGCAGCTGACTTTGCCTTCTCTTCCAGTTCACCTTCTACTGTGTTTGTTTCTGCGCTGCAGTAATTGGCGGTGGTGGATGCTCTGTATCTCCGGGGCTCGGCGTGCATTGATTTGTTTGGATTTCTGCTCCCCTCCCCAGAGCTTTGGCGTAAATGCGCGCCACAGACTCCCTACACTGCTGTCTGTCATGTCTGAGCGGCATATTTAAAGAGTTTGGTGTTTATCGAACTGCACGTACACTGAAAAGCACAGTATTTCCATAACACAAGGGTTTTTAAAATTAAGAATAGAAGCATTGGGATTTGAAAATATGCTTTGTTTTTTAGGGGTTTAACAGGGATTGTGTGTATAGGTGTCAAAATGTGCTACAGAGCTTTGAGACTGCAAAGAGGTCTTTGCTCAGAGCTTATGAGTGGGTTCAGACAGGGCTGCAGCCAACACAGACGTTGAGGACAATATTGTCCCTAGTATTAGATGTTCTTGATGGTGCTCTGCTGTACTCTGTTATTTCATATACTTTTACCGTAAACTGCTGTGAAATGTACATTAAATGAACAGAACAATTCTTATAATTTACAGTGGAAAAACCATGAATCGGCATGACCAGAATTGTCATTGAAATAAGTTTCTTCTTAGTCTTATTAGAGTTTTATGTTACATGTTGATAAATTAATATTTATTGTATTAAATTTGTGTCATGTACTGTATGCTACCATGATGATGTTTTGTATTTGTGTGTATAACACTGTGCACCTTCTTTATATACATTTACCATAGCTTGTGGAAAAGCTACTTGTGATGAACTTTGATTCAAAATGAGGCTTTCACTTTATCATCTAGATTTTTTATATATATTTTTATAAAAGTGGTTGTAAGTATATTATAAAGGTAAAAAACTGATTTTAGTCATTTGGTATAGTAACGTTACATTTGTTTTGTTTTTTTATAAAGTTCTGGCAACCACTGCAGCAATTTTTTTTTTACCATAAATGTCACAATTTATTTATTTTTTTTACAGTGTACCAGTATGACAAGAAAGAGTGTGTGGTAAGATGTAAGCAGCTAGTCATTTATTATTTGACAAATGTTTTACAATAGAACTGTTAAATGACCAACAATAATATCCAATGATGCACAACTACTTTTTTGTTAAAGGGGTCATATGACGTTGCTAAAAAGAACATTATTTGGTGTATTTGGTGTAATGAAATGTGTTTATGCGGTTTAAGGTTCAAAAAACACATTATTTTCCGCATACTGTACATTATTGTTTCTCCTCTATGCACCGCCTTTCTGAAACGCGTCGATTTTTACAAAGCTCATCGGTCTGAAAAGCGAGGTGTGCTCTGATTGGCCAGCTATCCAGTGCGTTGTGATTGGCCGAATACCTCAAGCGTGTGACGGAAATGTTATGCCCCTTACCATATTGTGATGGAGCGATGAGACAAAAACATTAAAAAACCCATTATAAAAGAGGCATTTGTTGCATCCAGTGGGGACATAATTAATGATTATAATGACTCGTACTGTCTTTTTACGTGTTGCATCGCGCCTCATAAATATAAAACCATGTCTGCATTTGTGATCGGAGAAATAACAAACAACAAGCGCTACTCTACACTGCTCAAAACTCGCGTTTGGATCATCAGTGACAAATCCTTTAAATATGAAAACGTACTTACAGTCTGTGAGTCAGAACAGCCGGCATTGTAGTCTACTCTCTCAGGATCAGGAAACAGTCCTCCATAAAATGCACTGCACACATCTGAATATTTGGGTTGAACTGTTCTGGAACAGTGTTGTAAATACAACTTAACCACTGATTTCTAGTTGTGTCCTCTTTTGGAAGGGCAAACGATGTAGTTTCGCTTTTACAACGAAACACACAGCGTCACACACGGCGGGCTTGAGTGCGGAATGGCCGGCGGGCTT